GGCTGACATTGAAGACCAATGCATTATTTGGATTGGACTATTTATTACCGAAGAAGTTTGTAATTAATTTTGATAAAATGACGTTTGGGAACAACAAACGCCAAATTCCGGTAACTCTCAAAAGAGAGGTTGTGCTAACCAGGTGTTATCAAGCCGAAGTCAAAGTGACTGAAGGAGTTGATGATGGTGAAATGGAACCAGGTATAGATATTAAAGCAGAGCAGGAGAAAGACCAAGATTTGAAGCCAATAATTGATTTTTTAAAAGCAAATGTTTTGCGCCCTGCTTGGGAGAAGGTGTCTAGTCTAAGCCCTGTAACAAAAAACTATTGGGCACAATGGGACCAGTTGAAGCTTGATGATGGTATTCTTCTCTGGAGATGGGAAAGTGATGACCTGGCAAATGGTTATACCGAGAAAGTTACGGGAAGTTGTGCTGCGCCAATCCCAGGATAGTTTGACAGGAGGACATCTCTGAGTTAAGAAGACATTGAGTCACCTACGACAGTGATTTTACTGGACAGGTATGAGGCAAGATGTGGAAGAATGGTGCAGGACCTGCAGTATATGTTGTGCTAAAGGGGGAACCAAGCATAAGGGACGTGCTCCAAGGAAGTTATATCAAGTTGGTGCACCGATGGAAAGAGTAGCCATTGACATTGCTGGTCCTCTGCCCCAAAGTCGTGCTGGTGACAAGTATATTTGTGTGGTGATGGATTATTTCACCAAGTGGCCTGAGGCATATGCAATACCAAATCAGAAGGCTACAACTGTAGCTTCAGCTATCAGTGATTTTTTCTTCAGATTTGGTATGCCATATGAACTGCATTCAGATCAAGGCCGTAACTTCGAATCAGCTGTGTTCCAAGAATACTGCAAGTTGTTTGGCATCCGAAAGACCAGGACAACACCACTTCACCCACAGTCCGATGGGATGGTAGAAAAGTACAACTGGTCACTAGGACAGGAATTGGCAAAGTTTTGTAATAGCTACCAAGATGACTGGAATGTCTTACTCCCTCCACTGTTGATGGCCTATAGGACAGCAGAGCATGATGCCACTGGATACAATCCAGCAAAGCTGAAGTTTGGTCGGGAACTTCGGTTGCCAATGGATCTG